GAGTGAGAACACTCTCTACCATTTTCCCATGCTCCCTTTTCCAGCTGATGATTTAAAAATTACTATTTGATTTTCAACACAAGCTTTGGCAGTCCAGAATGAGTGTAAAGTTAGTGGGTATATGCCACAAAGCCACCGGATGTTTCAAACATTCCACTCAGGCACTGCTGTAGATTCAGGCAAAAGAAAGTCAAGTCTCCTGTTGACACGTTCAATCAGAAAAGGTTTTGGACGTGGAATATGTAACATCATGACCAAGGTATTTCTTCAGACTGTGCAGTTTGGGAATATTTTTTTTTTAATTCTTCAGGCTGAACACTTTGAAATAATAATAATTTAATGTCATTATTACAACTGGACTTAAGAGCTGCTACTACATCTTTCTTGTTCTCAGCAAAAAGATAGAAGCATTTGAAGGTACTTTGCTATTCCTGTAGCTGCCTAGAGGGTGGTTACGTTGACACTGATCATTAGTGTACTGATAGCAAGTACTAACCTTGGCCTCCGTCACCACTGAAAGAGTGACCTGGGAGTGTTTTGTTTTCAGAAAAGTCATCCCCAACCTAGTCACAAGCATGGGATGGCATAAATCCTGCCCTTTGGTCTCTATTTCCCAGAACTTCCCTTTGCACAAGGTGACCCCCAGGAATCCTGCTAAAATGGTTCTGTAGCTCTTTGATATCAGCAGAGAGATGTATTTCAGCCCTACATCATGGATTATACTACTGCAGATTACAGATTAAAGACTACAGTGATGTGTAGCAAGCCAGCTTTGATACTGGTAGTGGTCTCATCACAGTAGCACAGCAGCCCACGTGGACTCATTTCCTCCAGAAGTGTTGAAAAGCGGCCGCACTGCACTCTGTAACACTGTGGCTAAACTATGCCTGCTCCTCTCTTGGGCTGCTCTGGAGCTAGCACAGCATATCTCCATGCTGATCTGCAGTCTGCAGAATTTGAAGCTGAAAGGGATGACTATAATAATCAAGTGTGAATCTACTCTTACCTAATACTGCTGGGATAATATGCGCAGTAAAATTTTCCTGCCCAAGGCCAAAAGCATAAGACCTCTCTTTCCTTTGCTCCCCCTTTTATGGACTTAATAGAAATTGCCTCCAGTACTTCCATATGCATTAGAGAAGGAAGAAAATACAACAGGCAATGCATTGCTTCAGCATTATGGCACTCCAGGTGTGCATGCTCAGACATGGGGAGCTGAAAAGCAGACAGGCATGACTGCAACAAAACTGCCAACAATTACACTGCTGATGATTAGTGTGAATCCCTATTGTGAGGCAAAAATGATGCAAA